CCCCTTTACTCAGGGTGAAAATGGTCATACCATTTATGGCCGTTTCTGTTTGCCCTTTCCACCATTCATAGGTCCCCAAGAGGCTGTAGCTTTGCTTATGTCCATTATCAGGCCTGAACTGGGGTCTTCTTTCTATCCCTTCTCCCCACTCATCTGTAAAGGAGGAAACTTAACATTCAAGAGCCCTTCCTTTGCTTTGCTTTGCTTTGCTTTGCTTTTCCCCAAGTCTGAGATCCAAAGCTCCACCTCCCGTGGCCCTTCCCTCCTCCTCAGGCACAGGCTGGGATGGTCAGAAGCCCAGACTGTAGCCTGGGAGAGAAGTTGCCCATTATCTTGCTTCAGAGTGTGACGGATGGTTTTTCTTAACTATATTTGCCCCAGATGGGCCTGTAGGTACCACTGAGAGACCCTAGCATTCATATATGTCCTTTCCCCTCGTCCTTTTAAACTAGGTTTTCACTTCCTCTGGTTTTCCCCCATATGAGCCTTCCTGCTTCTCCTTCCATACCATCTTCCCGGCCCCTTTCAGAACCAATGGGTTATGCCTTCTTCCTCCTACTCCTCAGCTCCAGGAGCTGGTCTGCCATGTGATGATGGGGAACCTGGTCATGTTTCGAAAAGACTCAGTCCTCAACATACTCAGTAAGTGAGCAGACCCTTTAGTAACCTTGGTAGAAGATGGGGTGGCAGCGCTTGTGTAGTAACAGGAAAGCTGCTTCTGGGACTGAGAATGGGGTAGAACAGCGCTGCGCCCTGCTGGGTGGTCTTGGGCCATGTCTTTCTGGGTCTGTTTCTCGCTCTGTACAATGGAAAGATAGCCTCCAGCCTCAGGGCTGATGGGAGTACAGAAACTATCTGAAGGCTTTGGAAATATGCTTTTTGTGGAAAGGAAGAGTATCTGTAGGCTTAGGATTGGGGTGCAGGTTGTTAAGGGAGAGATGTGGGGGAGAAAATTTAATGTCTCTTCATGCCCCGGCTGGGTAGCTCAGTTGGTTAGAGTGTTATCCCTAATATGCCAAGGTTGTGGGTTCAACCCCTGTCAGGGCACAAACAAGAATCAACCAGTGAATGCATAAATAAGTGGAACAAGAAATTAATGTGTTTTTCTCTTTCCCTTCCGTCTCTCTCTAAAATAGAAAAATAAAAAACAAACAAAAAAAGATTTAAAAAACTGTCTCTTCACTGTCTCTCACAGTCCAGAGCTTAGACTGGGAGACTTTTGAGCAGTACTGTGCCTGGCAGCTCTTCCTGGCTCACAACATCCCTCTAGAGACCATCATCCCCATCTTGCAGCACCTCAAATACAAGGGTGAGTAGGGTCGTGGGTGGGGAGCATGGTGATGGGACACTCCCAGTCTGGCTGGAGCAAGACTGAGGCCTGTAGGTACCTACATGAGCCCAGACCCATTGCTCCCTTTCCCACCCGAGTGCCCTGTGGAGGGGCAGGCTCACTTGTGCTCTCAGCGGAGTCCTGCAGGCCCTTTTGAGTCAGGCGCTGGGCTGGGGCTACAGTGGCCCAGGGTTTTACAGGAATGGGGGAGGAGATTGGTCTTCCTGGTTCCTGAAGATTACTTTTGCTCCTCCCAGTGGCAGTTGGGGGATGGGAGAGGTGCGAGGTTGTCTTCCTGGAATTATACATCCCTCTGAATGGCCTCTGCCCTTTCCCCACAGAGCACCCAGAGGCCTTGTCTTGCCTCCTGCTTCAGCTCCGGAGAGAGAAGTGAGTTCTACCCCAGGAGTTAACAAGCCACCGGTCCAACACACCAAGAGATGCTACTGAATCTGGGGCTTTAGTCCTGCCCCTTTGGCCATGTTTTTTCCCATTGTTGACACAGACTTATTCTGCCCTTCCCGTAGTGATTTACAAATAAGCAGCTCCCCTGGGATCTGGGCTTCCTCTTGACTTTACCCCCCTGCCCACCAGGAGCTGCCCTGGAGGTGGGACCGGACATCCCTGTTTCCTGCTGCCACAGCAGTTCTAATCCCAGTGGCTTCTGCTCCCCTCCCCCAGGCTCCTGAGGCCACCACACGAGGAGGAAGGGTCAGAGCAGAGGGGTCACACGCCACCCCCTTCCTCGACCGGCCGTGCAGTGCTCCGGGCTGGGGCTGGGGCTCGGGCTCAGGTGGAGCAGAGAGGCAGAGAAGGCCAAGGCCCCTCCCTCCATCACAGGCACTGTTGCAACAGCCCCACATAAATGGGGCGACAGCTGCATGCCTTTTCCTTCCTACCTTGTTGTCTTCCTTCCACCCTTTCTCCACTCTTGCCTGAGAGACCAGAAGTGGTGCCTAGTGTCCTAAAAGAAGTAGAAAAGTTGGAGGGCCCTGTGGAGGCTATGGCTTCACACCCCTCCCTCGTGCCTTCCCCAGACGGGATACCAGGGCGGCCTACAGATCTGGCGTGCGGGGGTGGGGCCGCATTCACACACCACTTGCTGTCCTTTTACCTCCCGGGCCGTTTCCTGACTGTTTTGGGCAAAATGGGGGATATGTGGAGGCTTCTTTTCACACACACACACGCACCTTCTACTACCACAGAAACTAAAGAGTCTCACTTCTTGTCTCCTGCCTTCTGCAAAGGATGAAACCAGGCATTCCTTGCCCAAAGAGAAGAGGGAGAGGGATGTGAGACTAGGAAGCTGCAGCAGGGGTGGGGCAGGGGTGAGGCAGGCTGCGGTTTGGGAAATAAGTACTGGGAGAGACCCAGCGGCTCCTAAGGCCAGTATTGTGAGCAGGATGCCCATGGCCCCTCTCACGACCCCAGGCCCAGCGAGGAGATGGTAAAGATGGTGCTGAGCCGGCCCTGCCACCCTGATGACCAGTTCACCACCAGCATCCTGCGACATTGGTGCATGAAGCACGACGAGCTGCTGGCCGAACACATCAAGTCCCTGCTCATCAAGAACAATAGCCTTCCACGAAAGAGGCAAAGGTGGGAGTAGGCCCTGCGGGACCCTCCAGGCCAGGCTGCCACTCTCCACAGGCCATGGCAGTCCATGCTGTCCCTGCCTGGCTCTTGGGTGACATCTAGTGGTCTGAAGTTTCATGGCCTGCAGGACCATGTGGCCCCTTCCCCTCTTCCTAGTGCTCTGTGGCTGGTCCCTATTCTAATTCACCTCCTGGATCCCACCCTAGCCCTCCCAGCCCTCTGTCCTTCCTCTGTGGGCTGCTTCTGACTTCAGGAGGGACCCTGGTTGGGGAGAGTGTCTTGCACTCCTGGAGTCCTCACTTCCAACTCAGGATCTGGTTCTCCTGACTTGCCTGCAGCCTGAGGAGCTCCAGCAGCAAGCTGGCCCAGCTGACTCTGGAGCAGATCCTGGAGCATCTGGACAACCTGCGTCTTAACCTGACCAACACCAAGCAGAACTGTATGCTTTCCAGCCCTCCCTGAGTCTAGCACGCCTGGTGCTGCCCCAGCTCACACCACCCTGAGTCGGGTGGGGGCAGGAGAGGAGAAAATCACCCCTGGGTGCTGATTATCTGACTCCCAGAAATCTGACTCTTCTTCCTTTCCTGCTGTCTCTTCCTTCTCTCTCTAGTTTTCAGCCAGACCCCAATTCTCCAGGCTCTGCAGCACGTCCAGGCGAGCTGTGATGAAGCCCACAAGATGAAGTGAGGCTCCTTGGGAAAGAGTAGGAAAAGGCCTAGGGAGGGGGCCAGCTGGGGACACAAACTTCAGGACCAGTAAGACTGTGGGGCTGAAGAGAAATAGACCGTGGGGCAGAGATGGAAGGAAGGTCAGAGGGCCAGAGGCCCCCCACTCTGAGAGCACGCACTCCTTTCCCTCAGGTTCAGTGACCTCTTCTCCCTGGCCGAGGAGTATGAGGACTCTTCCACCAAGCCACCCAAGAGCCGGCGAAAAGCAGCTCTGTCCAGCCCCCGGAGTCGAAAGAATGCCACACAGCCCCCCAATGCTGAGGAAGAGTCTGGTTCCAGCAGTGCCTCGGTGAGACCCCGAACCAGTGCACAGGAAGAGGAGCGTGGGGTGCAGGTAGAGTCGGGGCAGCAGTTGTTAGGCTAATGACACCCCCTTTCGATCTCTTGCAGGAGGAAGAAGACACAAAACCCAAGCCCACCAAGAGGAAACGGAAGGGGTCTTCTGCAGTGGGGTCTGACAGTGACTGAGGCTCGTGCGCCCATCCCACCCCTAGTTGGACTACCCTCCCCTCCTTGGAGAATCGAAGGTTTAATAGGGACTGAGGAGATCGCAGGGGAGACACCTTCTCCCCCATCCCAACACTCACCTGCTGGGAAGCCTGATGAGCTGCCATGCAGCCCCCAGCCCTCCCCCCGCGCTCCCTGGGGCCTCCAGCCCATCACACTGCTGCTCCCACCAATACTTGGGTTCCTGCTAAAGCCAGAAGTTGTGCAAAACCTGGATGGTGGAGGAAGTCCTTAGGACCCTGCCCCTCCCCCAGCCTCCCAAAGAGCTATTAAACCAAGAGGAGAAATGGCAAAGGGGCAGCTGGCCAGAGAGACGAGGAAAGACTTAAGTGTGCAAGTGTCCCTTCTGATGCCCCCTCTCATGTCCCCCCTTCAGGTCTTGATTTGCCCCGAATGGGCATTTTATAGTTGCTTTCCATACACCGGAATGAAAGGGGCACTTAATCAGTGACAATTTCTTGCTGCCTGTTTCTTTCCAAGGGGTCAGTGCCACAAGTGTGTAGGAAGGAACCTGACAGGGAGGTCACAGCCCCACCTGGTGTGCCCAGGAGGCTTGTGTTGGCCTGAAGTGGGTGCCTCGGGTTGGGTGGGCCGGAGCCCCAGGGAGTGGCAGAGACACGGTCCACGGAACTGTCGGTCGGTCCCATTGCCTTGGTTTTTTTCCCCCAGAGATAATCGTGTTTTAAAAGCTGTTTTTAAATGACAATAAAACAAGCCAGAACCTCTTGTGCCAGAGTTGCTCCCCCCATTTGCCCTGTGCATGTACAGGTAGTCTCATTTGGCACCCCCGCTGTGGCTTCACAATTTCCCTTCCTGCCTTCCCCTTTTGTCTGAAGCAGAGGAGGCTTGGCTTTGCCCTCCAGCACCGACATCATTCCAGCTGCCACCTGTCTAGGCAGGGATTGATGCTCCAATTCCCAATAGGGTGAGGCCTGCCCTTAACCATCCCTTAAGAATTAGAGACTTCCAAAAGCTAGAATCAGTCATACTCCATTGAGTAAGGACAGATGCCAGCTCTGAGGGGACTAAGTGCCCGGGTCGAGGCAGGCCCCATCTGACCCCGAAGGACACGTGCAGAGAGTTCGGTGACCAGGGGGGAGGCTCCCTTTCTTCGCAGCCTGTGCACCCGCAGGAAGAGCTCCTTGGCTGTGCCTTCGTTCCCCTGCTGTCCAGGGAGGTTGGGTGGCCAGGCGAAGAGAAGTCAAGTTCAGGGTGACGGAGACCGCTCCAGTTCCGTCTGAAAGCTCGTCTCAGAATCCGGGCTCTCCACTCCCTCAACACTGCGGCTCCTCCTTTTGAAAGCCTGAACCGCCCGAGGCCTCTTTTCCGTCCTCTCTCCTTCCCCAGTTTCCTCTGCCCCAATTAAAACCAGGATGGAAAGCATTGGCTGGCTGGCCCCAATTATTGTAGCTTGTCCAAAGGGAGGGGCCTCCAACGTGGCCCCTCCAGAAATCTGGCTGGCTGGGCCTCCACCTTTCCCCTACTTAACTCTCAGCCTCCACCCATCCCTTCAGGCGTGGGTCTGGCTACCACGTCGGGACTTGGCAGCACCACACAGGCAAGGGGTCGACTTCAGTCTTTTGGGACGGGGCAGTGGCACCCTCTTGTTCCGAGTGCCAATGAGTTTGGATCAGATGGACTTTGGTCCAAAAGCCCTGGTTCTCGGACCTGGACACCAAAGTCCCCCCAGATGCCTAAATCGCCCTTGAGAAGGAACCTAAAAGATGACCCTGAGATTGAGGGAAGGTGAGAGCACCGCCCAGAACCTGGTGGGGTGAGGGCAAGTAGCCGGGAGGGAGGGCTTCCAGGGCGGGGCTTGGGGGTGGGGAGGCCAGGAGTGCTGGGGCCGTCCCCCCCTCCGCCCCCGCTCTCCTCCAGTGGGAAGGGGCGTGTGCCAGCGCACGCACGCTCCCGTGAAGGAGCGGTCTCACGGACAGAACGAGAGGTCCCAGTTTTTCAGACGCGAGTAGCAGGGCTGACTGCGAACGGCTGGGGCCAGTCGGCGCCGAGACCAAGAAGAGGGCACCATGGCTACCCTCCTGCTGCTGCTCCTGTTGCTGCTGTTGCCGCTACTGCTGCACCTCTGGCCTCAGTGGCGCTGGCTGGCAGCAGACTTGGCCTTCACGGTGCGCGCCCTACGCTGCAAACGCGAGCTCCAAGCACGCGCCCTGGCCGCGGCCACAGCCGACCCGCAGGGTCCCGAGGGGGGTTGCAGCCTGGCCTGGCGCCTCGCACAACTGGCTCGCCAGCAGCCGGCGCACACCTTTCTCATCCACGGCGCTCAGTGCTTCAGCTACGCTGAGGCCGAGCGCCAGAGCAATCGAGCGGCACGCGCCTTCCTGCGCGCCCGGGGCTGGGGAGGGGTCAGCGGCTGCGCTTCAGGGGGCGCCCGGGAAGGCGAGGGAGCAGTCGGAAGCGGGGAGGTGCAGGCCGCGAGGGATGGGAATGGCGCGGCCCCTCTGGCACCCGGAGCCACCGTGGCGCTGCTCCTTCCTGCTTCCCCGGAGTTCTTGTGGCTTTGGTTCGGGCTAGCCAAGGCTGGCCTGTGTACGGCCTTTGTGCCCACCGCCCTGCGCCGGGGACCCCTGCTGCATTGCCTCCGCAGCTGCGGCGCGAGCGCGCTGGTGCTGGCGCCAGGTAAGGCTGGAGCGCCCCGCGGGGCGGGGCGGTGTCTGCAGGAAAGAGGCGTGCCACAAGTTGGAGGGGTTGGGCCACAAAGGGACCGAGGAAGTTATCTTGGGGTTTGCAGTGGGTGGGGATACATCTCTGGATTTACGAAGAGATGGAGCTAGGTCTTTCTTTGGTTACCCCCCCATTCCCAAAAAGTCAGGCTCCAGGTCTCAAGTCTGTGATGGGATGTCCATATTCTTCATTTTCACCCAAAAGCAGTGCAGAACGGGGAGAGTGGCGGCACAAATAGGTTAGAGGGTAGGGAAGGCTTCTGGGTGACGGGAGGGGGAGCCATGGAGCTCGGCCCTTTCCTACCGCATCCAGAGTTCCTGGAGTCACTGGAGCCTGACCTGCTAGCCCTGAAAGCCATGGGGCTCCACCTGTGGGCTGCAGGGCCTGAAGCCCATTCTGCTGGAATCAGCGATCTGTTGGCTGAGGTCTCGGCTGAATTGGACGGGCCTGTGCCTGGGTACCTATCTGCTCCCCAGAGCATAATGGACACGTGCCTGTACATCTTCACCTCTGGCACTACTGGTGAGGGCTGGACACCATGCTTACTTCCCAGAAACTAAGGCGCAGAGGAAGGCAAGGGTCTGGGGACAAGAACAGGGACTCCTCAGCTCCCAGGCCACCCCTTCAGACTGCCTCCCCGCCACCCCCAGATAAGGTGCTAATCCCAGCATCATCCATATCCTCCCTTGCCACTTCTCCCACCCCTGATGATTTCTCCACCTCCCTGAACTCCCTACATCTCCAAGGCAGTCCGGCTTCCCTTCTCAGCTTCCATTCCTGCCTCTGCCTCTTTCTGTGGGAAACCCAGCAGGAGCAGAGGGGGAGGCAGAGCTTGGAGCTGAGCCCCTTCCCCTGGTCTCCTCCCACCCTTAGGCCTCCCTAAGGCTGCTCGGATCAGTCACCTGAAGGTCCTGCAGTGCCAGGGGTTCTACCAGATGTGTGGTGCCCACCAGGAGGATGTGATCTACCTGGCCCTCCCACTCTACCACATGGCCGGCTCCCTGTTGGGCATTGTGGGCTGCTTGGGCATTGGTCAGTCTCCCCCACCCAACCCCCTTTCAGTCCTTTAGAACATTGTTTAGCAAGGACCTGCTGCGCTGCTAGCTTGGGGTGCCCCTGAGTCCTTCAGGTAGAAAATTCCAAGCAAGGAGGGGGTAGGGCCTACTGTCCAGGAGCTCCTGTTACAATGGAGAAATGTTACCTGCAGGGACCTGCAGACTGAGCGGTTTCCGGAGGTCACATGGGTCACAGAACTCTGGAGTCCACGGGCAAGGGGATGGAAGTGTCAGCCCAGGAAGAGGCAAAGAAAGAGGGCTGGGACTGGGGGAGGAAATAGAGATGGACTTCTTGGGGACAGGGAGAGGAAAAGGGCATTAACTTCTCTGAGGCACAGAGAGAGATGGCAGAGGGCCAGCTCGGCATGCCCACCCACAAGTGGGAATGCCACAGGGAAGCTGCGCTGCAGTGAAGGCTAGTGTTGGGAAGAAGTGGGTTGGGGCTCCCCCTGCAGCCCTTAACCTCACCTCCTTCCTCCCTCTCGACTTTGGCAGGGGCCACAGTGGTGCTGAAGTCCAAGTTCTCGGCTAGCCAGTTCTGGGAGGACTGCCAGAAACACAGGGTGACCGTGTTCCAGTACATCGGGGAATTATGCCGATATCTTGTCAACCAGCCCCCGGTGCGTGGGCGCAGATGCTGGGCTGAGCCACCAAGGCAGGGAGATGGGCAGTTGACAGGAGACACTGTGACAGTTGTCTGGGAGTCGGAGGGAGATGCAACAAGAAGAAAGTAGCGGGGTCAGGAAGGGAGCCTGGCGCTGTGGGACCTCTGACGCGTAGGCCGTTGAGCACCACAGTGGAAAGGGTTTCTAGGGAATGGGGAACAGGACTTCACTTTGGGGAGCTGGCATGTTGGTGTTGAAGCTCCTGCCCCTCTCTGCACTCCTCAGAGTCAGGCAGAACATGGACATAAGGTCCGGCTGGCAGTGGGCAGTGGGCTGCGCCCAGATACCTGGGAGCGTTTTGTGCGGCGCTTCGGGCCCCTGCAGGTGCTGGAGACGTATGGACTGACAGAAGGCAACGTGGCCACTTTCAACTACACAGGACAGCGAGGTGCTGTGGGCCGAGCTTCCTGGCTTTACAAGGTGAGGAGTAGGAAGGAAACTGGAGACCCCTTGATAGCAGGGGTTGGCTGGGGGGGCACTCACGCAGTTGAAGTGACTCAGTGCCTGGGTCTCCCTTCCCCCAGCGTGTCTTCCCCTTCTCTTTGATTCGCTATGATGTCACCACAGGGGAGCCACTTCGGGACACCCGAGGGCACTGTGTGACCACATCTCCAGGTTTGTGCTCAGGCAGGGTAGGTGGGGTGGGAAAGCTGGCAAAGGAGGATCAGCATTGGAGAATGGGGCAAGAGGCAAGGGGGGCAGCCACCCCTGACCCCAGTGACTCTGCCAGGTGAACCGGGGCTGCTGGTGACCCCAGTGAGCCAGCAGTCCCCGTTCCTGGGCTACGCTGGGGACCCAGAGCTGGCCAAGGGAAAGCTGATCAAGGATGTTTTCCGGCCTGGGGATGTTTTCTTCAACACTGGAGACCTGCTGGTCTGCGATGACCAAGGCTTCCTTCGCTTCCATGATCGCACTGGGGACACCTTCAGGTCTCTGTCCCTAACTTCCTGCCTCCTTCCTGGGCTTCTGATCTCCAGCCCAGGCCCCTAAACCTCAGGTCGCTAATCTGCCCCAACCCAGCTCCTCACCTCCCCTCTCACCTCAGAGCTGCTAGACACCACTTCCCAGTGACCATCTGGCACCCTGACCTCGTCCCTGATATTCCCTCCCTCCCAACTCCTCAGGCCCTGTCCCCTGACTCCTGGTTTTGTATCTCTGCACTCCCGGCAGGTGGAAGGGGGAGAACGTGGCCACGACGGAGGTGGCAGAGGCCTTGGAGGCCCTGGACTTCCTCCAGGAGGTGAACGTCTATGGCGTCACTGTGCCAGGTGCCCAGCCGTGGGGGGTGGGGGGGACCTGGCCCATTTCCCAGGATTGGTATGACTTGGGCCCAGGGAACATGAGGCTGAGCCTTGCCCCCACAACCCCAGGGCACGAAGGCAGGGCAGGAATGGCGGCCCTGGTTCTGCGTCCCCCCAACTCGTTGGACCTTGTGCAGCTCTACACCCATGTTTCTGAGAACTTGCCGCCTTATGCCTGGCCCCGGTTCCTAAGGCTCCAGGTAACCGCCCATGCCTGCTGTGATCTCTCACCCCACATATGCGTGGCAGTCCGTAGCTCCCAAACCCCACAAAGGGGCCCCCACATAATATACTCTGAAGAAACGAACACCTCCTTCCCAGACACGCTCCTCACTCCTTCATTTGTCCAGGTTTGGCCCTTTCCCTTCCCTGTCACCTCCTTCCCTAAACCCTGACATCATTACCCACTGCCCCCAGACATGCCCCTTAATAAAATTTAGGCAACTCACCTGAGCCATCTGGGTAGAGTACCCCTTTCTTCAGCTCCCTTTGACACCCTCTCCCCAGGAGTCTCTGGCCACCACAGAGACCTTCAAGCAGCAGAAGGTCCGCATGGCAAAGGAGGGCTTTGACCCGAGCACCCTGTGCGACCCACTGTACATTCTAGACCAAGCCAGGGGCGCCTACCTGCCCCTCACACCTGCCCGGCATGGAGCCCTCCTGGCTGGGGACCTTCGAATCTGAGCCCTCCATGTGCAGCTGAAGGAGGGGCTGTGTGGGGTGGGGGCACTGAAGGTGTCAGAGGCTGTCAGGGGTCTTTTCTACACTAGATTTGTAATCACAGTTTTGTAATAAATATGGCCAGAGCCAGTTTGGCTGTCTGTCTCACCTCCGGTCTGTCTTCCCTCTCTGCTGTGGAACTGCTTTTCCTCGGATGTTCGCTCCTGGCCCACAGCCCAGGCCCTCCTGCCCTGACTGCATGTGGGCTTCCTCGCAGGTGACCCCGGGCGATCCTTGGAGAACCCCGGTGACTGATTTCTGTGTGCTCGTGTGCATCTGGCCGCAGTTTCACTTCCTGAATTCAGGGCCCCACTGCTTTCTCCCAGAGGCTGCAGGCCCCCAGGGGATGGCTCAAAAGGCGGGGTGGTCAGAAGCACTGCCCCAAATTGCCTCACTGACTCAGATGTGAGTCAGTGGGGGGCCTGGGGAAGCATCCCCATCAGGCAAAACAAAGGTTAGATTTGGGGGGAAAGGACACTCTAGGTGCCCCTCCCCTCACAGCTGTCTCTGATAAGCCAGCCGGTGAGGAGGAAGGGTGGGGCCGCACAGCCTCCCCAAATCAGATGTTCCCAATTTTACCTAATCTTAGTCATATGTTCCCCAAAGCAACAACCTAGGCTAGGGCCCCACAGGTTTTGGGGAGACCTTGACTGAAGAAGTCCTTCCTTGGAGTAGGGCTCGGAGAGCGTGTGCCCCTGTGGCAGCAAGAGGGATGGAGGAATCAAATGGAAAAAGGCCTCTCCTTGTCCACCTGCCCCCCAAAATGGGGCATCAAAAAGTTGATCATTTATTTATTTTTAGAAGATAAGGAGAAAAACATCAATGCATGGGTTACCTCTCAGACGCCCCTCACCGGGGGACCTGGCCAGCAACCCAGGCATGTTCCCTGACTGGGAAATGAACCGGTGGCCCTTTGGTTTGTAGGCCAGCACTCAATCCACTGAACCACACCAATCAGAGCCCCAAAAGCTGTCATTTAAAAGCTTGAAGTGAGCCCTGGTTGATGTAGCTCAGTGGACTGAGTGTGGGCCTGTGAACCAAGGGATCGAGGTTGGATTCCCAGTCAGGGCACGTGCCTGGGTTGCAGGCCAGTTCCCAGCAGGGGACACCCAAGAGGCAACCATACATTGATACTTCTCTCCCTCTCTCCTTCCCTTCCTCTCTAAAAATAAATAAGTAAAATGTTTTTTTAAAAAAGCTTGAAGTGATGAAACTCCTGCTTCTCCTAGAACTAAAGTCCCCTCTATTTTCAGTTGTAGGTCCTTGACGTTTTCTGCTACTTTCCCTTGGCTTGTCTTTTCCCTTCCAACCCCTGACCCCAACATGAGAGGTCAGAGGCAGCACCCAACCACCAACTGGGGTCCGTATGGCTAACCCTCCTGTTCTAAAATCCATACCCTGCTCCACCCTCCACCACAAAACCCAGTTCCATGTCACTGACTAGCTGAGGCACACACGGGTGTAGGTGACATATTCCCACACTGACCAGTAAATGAGGAAATTAGCTCATTTTGTTCACCTCTGGAATCCGCCTAGGATCTGTCTGGGGGTGGGGTGGCATGAGGTGGCACCTTCTCTTGGCTGGCAGGGGGCACCTCTGCACTGGCCCCCTCACAACCTTAACTCAGGTTTCCCAGGCCTTTAGGCTAAGCAGCCATTTCGTCCCTTGTGGAATCACACAAGGTTTCCCCACAGTTCCTGTTTCAGTTGGTCTAAATCTGCTCCATCCAGTATGGTAGCTGCCAGCCTCATGTGAATATCAGATTACTCAAAATGTGTCTAGTCTGAGCAAGATGTGCTTTGAGTGTAAGCTATACACCACACTTCAGACTTCGTACCAAAAAGAGAATGAAAAGATTTCTTTATCCCTGGCTGGTGTGGCTCAGTGGCTTGAACATCAGACTATGAAGCAAAGGGTTGCCAGTTGGATTCCCAGTAAAGGCACATGCCTGGGTTGCTGGCCAAGTCCCCAGTAGGGGGCATGTGAGAGACAACCACACCTTGATGTCTCTCTCCCTCTCCTTCTCCCACCCTTCCCCTCTAAAAAGTCTTTTTAAAAAATCATGTTTAAAATGAATTTCACTTATTTTTACTTTATAAAGATTGCTACTAGAAAATTGAGAATAACACATAAAACCACACTGTATTTCTACTGAATAGCACTGACCTAGATCCTGTCCCCGCATCTCACTCTGAAGACCCACAAGCACCAGGTGCAACACATCAGTTGTACCTGTACGGAGTGAGCAAGAACAGCTGGGAGGAGGGCTGTCCGCTCTAATGGGCGGAGCCAGGTGGCTGTCTCTCCAGACACAGCCCCAGCTCTATGAACCAGCTTTGTCAAGGAGGCTCTAGTTAGAGGTGGAAATTGAGAGCAGCAAGAAGGCACACTTTTGACCCAAAATAATTAGGTTTCCCATTTATACAATTAAAAATAAACTCTGGTCCTGGCTCGTGTGGCTCAGTGGATTGAGTAACAGCCTGTGAACCAAAGAGTGGCTGGTTCAATTCTTGGTCAGGGCCAGGGTTGCTCTGGGCCTGGGTTGCAGGCCAGGACCCCAGTGTGGGGTACGTGAGAGGCAACCACACACTGGTGTTTCCCTCTTCCTCCCTTCCCCTCTCTCTAGAAATAAATAAATAAAATCTTAAAAAAAAAAAAAGAGCCCTGGCTGGTGTAGCTCAATGGATTGAGCGTTGGCATTCGAACCAAAGGGTGACCAGTTCAGTTCCCAGACAGGTTGCAAGCCAGGTCCCCAGATGGGGGTACGTGAGGGGCAACCACACTTTGATGTTTTTCTCCCTCTCTTTCTCCCTCCCTTCCCCTCTCTCTAAAAATAAATAAAATCTGCCCTGGCTGGTGTAGCTCAGTGGATTGAGCAATAGCCTGCAAACCAAAGGGTTGTGGTTCGATTCCCAGTCAGGGCACATGCCTGGGTTGCAGGCCAGTTCCCAGCAAGGGATGCATGAGAGGCAACCATACATTGATACTTCTCTCCCTCTCTCCTTCTCTTCCCCTCTAACGATAAATAAATAAAATCTTTAAAAAATAAAATAAAATAAAATCTTTAAAATAAGCAAATCCTTTTTTAAAAGAAGAAGGAATTATGTGATAGTTTGCAAAGACAAAATAGGTTGGTCCTCAGGTGGTTAGTTCCCTTTCTCAGGAGGGTGATCAGCCACTTTGGGATCCTGGAATGGGGAGTGGTAGAACCCAAGAACTTGTCTCCAGGCCTCGAATCATGGCAACGTTCTCACCTTAGTGTGTGTAGGAGCCAGAAAAGGGACAGTGGGATCAGAAAAACACTACCAGTTTTCCTCAGCCAGCAGGCTAAGAATGGTATTTTCACACAGTTAAATCAAAAGAGCCCTGTCTGGTGTAGCTCAGTGGACTGAGGGTGGACTGTGAACCAAAGGGTCTCCCTTCGATTCCCAGTCAGGGCACATGCCTGGGTTGCAGGCCAGGTCCCCAGTGGGGGGCCCGAGAGGCAACCACACATTGATGTTTCTCTCCTTCTCTTTCTCCTTCCCTTCCCCTCTCTCTCTAAAAAAAAATAATAATAATAAAATAAAAAATAAATCAAAAGAATATTTCATGATGTAAAAATTATGTGGGATTCAGATTTCAGTGTTTATAAGTAGTTTTTACTGGGGCAGGCCACATTCATTCCTTCATACATTGTCTGCGGCTGCTTCTGTGTTACAAAAGCAGAGATGAGTAGTGACAGACTGGCCTGCAAAACACGAAATACTTACTACGTGGCCCTTGACAGAAACCCTCTGCCAAACCGCTCTAGGGCGCCCGCCCTCCAGCTGAAGCCGCTGGCTGCGGCTTCCCGCGCACAGGGAACTAAGCCCGCGCTGGCCCAGGCCTGGTGGCTGCTCCCCGTGGGGCTCAACTGAAAGTTCCCAGCCCCGGGCCTGCTTAAGCCCCGGTGATAAAGGAACAAATCCGCGTACAGCCCCACTCACCTCCGACAGCCCACCAGGAGGCGGGCCCCGGAGCGTGGCCACGTCCATGCGCGAAGGAGGCGGTGCAGGCCCGGGAGAGTGGGAGGAGTCACTACGTGGGCCGGACCAGGCCTGCGCGCCTGCAACCGAGAAGGGCGCCTGCGCATTTGGGTGCTGCCGTCTCCACACTCGCTGAAACTAGAAGAAAAATGGAAGGGCCGGGTCAAAGTACCTGGCGTTCTCCTTGGGCTCTAGGGGGCAACTGCGGGGAGCAATTATTTTTTTATTAGAGATATAATTCATATACTAAAAAAAAAAAAATCACACTTCTAAAGAGTAAAGTTGACGCCCTGGTGGGCATAGTGGTGGGGATTGAGCTTGGTCTGTAAACCAAAGGGTTGCAGGTTCGATTCCCAGTCAGGGCAAATGCCTGGGTTGTGGGCCATGTCCCCAGTGGGGGCCACGTGAGAGGCAGCCACACACTGATGTTTCTCTCCATCTCCCTCCCTCCCCCTTCTAGTAAAATCTTAATTTTCTTCTAAAAAATTTTATTTATTTATCTTTAGAGGGGAAGGGAAGGAGAAAGGGAGAGACATATCAATGTATGGTTGCCTCTCCTGCGCCCCCTGCTGGGAACTGGCCTGCAACCCAGGCATGTGCGCTGGCTGGGACTCGAACCCCGATCCTTTGGTTTGCAGGCTTTTGCTCAATCCACTGAGCTACACCAGCCAGGGCTAAAATTAAAATCTTTAAATAAAATAAAGTATAAAGTTGAGTTTTTAATGTATTCAAAAACTTGTGCAACCATAGCCACTATCTTAGAACATTTTCATCACCCCCAAAAGAAACCCTTACCCATTAGCAGTCACTCTCCAGTTCCCCTCCCACCAAGCCTCTGGCAACCACTGATCTACATTGTGTCTCTATGGATTTATCTATTCTGGATATTGCATATTAATGGAACCATACAATATACAATATGTGAGCTTTTGTGTTTGGTGACTTTCACTTACCATAATGTTTTCAAAGTTCATCCCTGTTGCCGCATGTATCAGTACTTCATTCTTTTTATGGTCAAATAATATTCTATTGGCTGTACATACCACAATTTGATGGAATTTGGGCTATTTCCAGTTTTTGGCTACTTAAGTGG